GACAGCTAGTAACTCCCTATTCCCGATGTCGTAGTTCCATTCCGCGGGGGGTTAAACGAAGGGAAAGAAAAGCGCAGGGATGTATTTTCTCGTCTGAAGATGATCTCTGAGACAGACCTGCCCCAACCCCCACCTCCGACGCATCCACCTCCACAATGAACTGATGAGACTGGTCAGGGGTGGTTAAAATAGGGGCCGAAATAAATCGACTCTTTAATGTCTCAAACGCAGTTTGGGCCTGCGCTGACCAACAGAATCATTTCTTAGTGGAGGTGAGATCAGTCAGAGGAAGGGCGACCTGGCTAAAGTTCCGAATGAACCGCCTGTAAAAATTGGCAAACCCCAAAAAACGCTGGACCGATCTACGACTATCTGGGGTGGGCCAATCAGCAACAGCCTTTACCTTGGCGAGATCCATTCGGATACCTTCAGGCGAGAGAATAAACCGCAGGAACGGAACCGACCGTGCATGAAACTCACACTTCTCCAACTTGACGAATAGACTATTCTCCAGCAGCCGCTAGAGCACTTGCCTGACGTTCTGGACATGCTCGTGCTCGTTCTGGGAGAAGATCAGGATGTCGTCGATGTAAACAAAAACAAACTGATCGACCATGTCTCTGAGCACGTCGTTGACGAGTGCCTGAAAGACCGCCGGTGAGTTAGAAACCCCGAAGTGCATAACCCAATACTCAAAATGCCCCATATGGGTGTTAAAGGCGGTCTTCCATTCGTCCCCCTCCCTAATCCGAACCAAGTGATAAGCACTGCAGAGGTCCAACTTTGTAAAGATGGTTGCCCCCTGCAAGAGCTCGAAGGCCGATGACATCAACGGCAAAGGATAACGATTCTTTACCGTGATGTCATTCAAGCCCCGATAGTCAATGCAGGGGCGCAGCGAACCATCCTTGTTCTCCACAAAGAAGAACCCTGCCCCAGCTGGAGAGGAAGAGGGGCGGATAATGCCTGCTACCAGAGAATCGTATATATACCTCTCCACGGTCTCTCTCTCTGGACCGGACAGAGAGTATAGGCGCCCCCTAGGTGGAGAAGTGCCAGGCAACAGGTCAATCGCACGGGCGATGCGGAGGCAGAGATGAAGCTCGGGACTTACTGAAAACCGCTCTCAAGTCATGGTAAGCCTCCGGTACATCTGCCAGGCTCACCGGCTCCTCCTGCAACACAGAACAAGACAAGACTGGGGAAAATGCAGCACCTAAACACTGAGCTAAACAGAAAGGACTCCAAGCCCTAATCGCCCCGCGAGCCCAATCAATATGGGGGTTATGTTAAAAAAACCTGGTGTGACCCAACACCACTGGAGCGGTGGGCGAATGAATAAGGAGGAATCGGATCTCCTCGGCATGATTACCAGACAAGGTTAGCGTGACGAATTTAGTGACATGGGTAATATTAGTGAGATGGGTGCCACAAAGGGTCCTGGCAGAAATAGGCTCAGCCAGGGCAACGGACGAAATCCCCAGACGTGTAGCCAATCTGGAATCCATGAAGTCGCCCTCCGCTCCAGAGTCGATTAACGTGGAAACTTGGAAGACAGCTCCCTCAAACTGTAATGAAGCTTGAAACTCTGACCGACCACCAGATGGCAGTCAAGTAGTAGTGACGCTCACCATGCGCTCTCCCCTGCGTGATGAGCCTCGCCCCGCAACAGGGCATGCCGCTGCAACATGGCCCGCCTCCCCACAGTAGAGACACAGCTGATTGGCCAGGCGACGCCGTCGCTCCCCTATGATCAGCCGTGCTCTCCCGACTTGCATGGGCTCCTCCTCCGGGAGGATGAGGGGTTGAGACAGCGTGTCACACGCCGCTACTAACCGCCCCAGTGATGTGCTCGCGGGGAATCCCCCCTCTTCGGTGCCGGGAACGGAGAGCCATCCGGTCATCGACCCGAATGGCGAGATCGACCAATCCATCCAAGCCAGAAGGCAGCTCAAGGGAATAGATCTCGTCCTTCACGTGCTCAGCCAGGCCGTGAAGGAAGTGATCCCAGAGTGCCTTCTCATTCCAGCCGCAGGATGCGGTGAGCGTGCAGAATTCAATGGAGTAACCGGACATGGACTGCTGTCCCTGCTGGAGCAGCGACAGGGCTCGTGCCGCCTCAATTCCCCACGCCGAGAGATCAAACACCTTGCGCAACTCCTTCGAGAATGCCTCAAAGGACAAACAGCAGTCATGCTCGCTATCCCACATGGCCGTTCCCCACTCTCTCGCTTGACCCACCAAGAGCGTGATGACGAACGCTACCCTGGATTGCTCCGTGGGGAAACAAGAAGGCTGGAGAGTAAAAGTCAGCGAGCATTGGGACAGGAATGACCGGCATGAGTTGGGCTCACCCGAGTATGGAGCAGGCGGATTAAGTCGCGGTTCCGCGTGGCTAGGAACGGCTCCTTCAGAACCAGGCGCGGGTGTGCCAGCTCTGGGGCTGGAGCCGACACTGGAGTGAGCTCTGGGGCTGGAGCCGACACTGGAGCGAGCTCTGGTCAAGTCAAGTCACCTTTATTTATATAGCGCTTTTAACAATAAAGATTGTGTCAAAGCAACTGAACCGCATTAATTAGGAAAATAGTGTGTCAATAATGCAAAATGACAATAGTAAACACTAATTTTTCAGTTAAAGACAGTTCATCATTCAATTCAGTGATGTCATCATCCAGCTCAGTTCAGATCAATTCCATGCGATATAATTAAATCTAGCGTATGACTAAAACGATGAGTGGGCCCCGTGACGTTTTGCTTGACTCCAAAATAATTTATTAGGTCAGTAAACGCAAGTCCTAATGCATCATTTGTATTATCAACGTGAATGTTAAAATCTCCGACAATTAGCGCTAACTAATAGGTCTTAGAGGAAATCTGCAAATTCTTTTAGGAAATCTGTATACGGCCCTGGTGGTCTATACACAGTAGCCAGAGCAAGAGATACAATAGATTTTTTTGCATATCTGACAGTGTAACATTAAGCATTAGTATTTCGAATGAGTTAAACCTGTATCCTGTCTTCTGAGTAACATTGAGAATATCACTATATATTGTTGCAACACCGCCGCCACGACCAGTCTGACGGGGCTCATGCTTATAACAGTAGCTTGGTGGAGTAGACTCATTTAGACCAATATAATCAATATAATATACCAAGATAATTTAGACCAATTAGGTTTTAGCCAGGTTTCAGTCAAGCAGAGTACATCAAAATGATTATCTGTGATCATTTCATTTACAATAACTGCTTTGGGTGAGAGTGATCTAATGTTTAGGAGCCCAAACTTAAAAAATTGTTTTTGTTAATTTATTTGAACGAGCTCTGGGGCTAGGATGAGGGAGGAGAACAGTCTTTTTCTCCTCATCCTCCTCCTTTGGTTAGAGGTAAATGGCGTGGCCAGCAGGCTTGAGAGCTGAGCGACCGCCGGGCTTGACAATGGAGCGGCTGGCGGACGTGAACATGAAGCGGCTGGAGGGTTTGACTGAGGAACGGCCGGCGGACTAGACTTCGGAGCGGCCAGCGGGCTTGAGAATGTCGCGGCTGGCGGTCTTGACTTCGGAGCAACCGGGGGGCTTGAGAATGCTGCGGCCGGCAGGCTTGCCTTAGGAATGGCCTGCGGACTTGAGAATGCCGCAACCGGCGGTCTTGACTTCAGAGCTCCCAGACACCAGAGGATCCCTTCCCTCCAGCTTAGTCCCGTGGTGTCTGGGAGGTCCACGGGGCGATGGTAATTGGCACCGTGCCAGAACAGAGAGTTTATGGTGACATCATCTAAAGCCGACTCCCAGGCATACTCGATGATGGGGAGATCACTACGGGCTAGGGCAATGAATCGAGTAGCGATTTCCATGATCGCGGTGGGGAAAAAACAAGAAAATAAAAGACTTTCAAAAACTGGAAACAAAAACGAGGAGAAGGGACGCCGATTACTGTTATCGGTGCTGTCTTCTGTCACGATCTGCTGCTACTCTGTGTCTGAGATGAGGAGCGAAGGAGCGAGGAGACATCGGAGAATATAGGAAAAAGGATTTATTAGCACACACGTAGTAAAGAAACCAAAGGACGTTTAAGACAGGACTCAGGAAACACAGGGCTTAAATACACATGGAAACTAATCAAGGAAATCACGAGACACACCTGGAATCAAATCAACATGGGAAAACTGGGACATTTGTCAGTCCTGTGTCTCATGTTTTCCTCCCCCACGTGATCCATGTCCCAGTTTTATATATATTCTATATATATATATATACAGTGGGTACGGAAAGTATTCAGACCCCCTTACATTTTTCACTCTTTGTTATATTGCAGCCATTTGCTAAAATCATTTAAGTTAATTTTTTTCCTCATGGCTGTATTAGATCAAAAGGGTGCTTCTACTAAATACTGAGCAAAGGGTCTGAATACTTAGGACCATGTGATATTTCAGTTTTTCTTTTTTAATAAATCTGCAAAAATGTCAACAATTCTGTGTTTTTCTGTCAATATGGGGTGCTGTGTGTACATTAATGAGGAAAAAAATTAACTTAAATGATTTTAGCAAATGGCTGCAATATAACAAATTTCTTTGTTTAGAATGATATCTAATTGCGTTGCATCTGTCATCTTGTATATTCCAAGTAAGTTTAATGTTTTTGACCTAATCTATGGGTGTTATTTTAGAGTATTATTATTGGAAATCTGCTTTAGTCTGATGGTGGTCTTTGTTGTGAACTGGGTCTCAGTAACTGTGGCTCATGAGTCTCTGGTTACTGGAATCTTTCAATAATTGATGTCTCTTGAATTCTAACACCAGCCTCCTAAAACAAGTGGTGCATTTGTGTTTATGTGTCCCACGACTCTGAAATCGGGTTTAGCTAGTGCTGGGAACATTTTTTTTTTTCTTTTTCTTTGCAAAAGTTTACCGTCTGACGAGTGCATATGTGATTGTGTCCAGATAAAGAGAGGAGTGGGACAAGATTTCTGAGTAGGAGATTTAATACAACTTTGTGATTGACAGGAAAATGACACTCAGGACACAGGAGCTGATGTAAAAGGCAACTGCCACTCAGAACATAACCAGCACGGCACTTTGCAGGTACAGTAGGCTATATATTGCTATACCTGCTTTAATACTGATGTGATCTGTTTTGTAACAGTGCTGTGGTGTTAACATCTGAGCTACATGAAGCTACTTCATTTCACTGACTCTTGACATTTGTTTTTCAAGCTTAAACTCGGTAGATTGGTTGGTTGTTTACAGCACAGTGTAAAGTTTAGACTTCCTACTTCAGAATGGTATATTTTTGTGGGTTCCTACAGCAATTGATTTAGTAAACAGTGGTTGTTTTGGGCTTGTTGCACTCAAGCAGTTATTTGGCAAAAGAGAAAGTGTTTTTTTTCCACTGATCTAATTCAGTGTGGTCATTCTAGCTGCCAGGGTTTAAATGTTGAGGATATTTGTTGACAGGATTTGCGTGACATCATCTCTTATTCACCTGAGGGTTTTGGTTTACTCCAGACTGCAAGTGTGTAAAGTACTCATTCGTTTGGATGGCTTGTTGAGAACACATTTAAATGTTTTGTTATTGACTGTATCATTGTGTATTATTAACATTTTTGCCATATCTGCCAGTGGTGAACAAATTGTATGTAGCATTTCATGTATTTTACAGAATTAAAAAAAAATCTGTTTATTTATCAGCGTGTTTCTTGCATATTGGTGACAAACCCTGCAGGCTATTCCACTTATGTGTCACCACATGGAAATCTGGAGGGGATAAAATGTAGATAAACTAAAATCTCTTTATTGTAATAAACTATGAATATTCTTGGGAATACTTTTTCAGTAAGTTTTAGAAGCTAACATAATGCTTTTATGAGATTTGTTAATCTGGGCTAAAGTTCAGTTCTACATACAGTATACTAATATATTTTTAACATTTTAATTTGTGTAAATTAATTTTTAATGAACAAACACGAATTACAAATGAACATTAGTATTATAGAACAACATTAACCTAGATACAGGCTGTAAAAAACCTGGTGTTAATTGTTATTTCATGAAATCTACCTCATTAACTAATGATAATGGATGTAATCTTTTTGTATTTTGTTATCATATTCTGACAATATCTTCTACTAATGTACACTACCATTAAAAAATTTGGGTGTCAGTAATTGTTTTCTATTTCTTTATTTTCACTTTAGATTTTATTTTATACTTCAATCTGCAAGCATGCATTAAATTCAAATCAAAATTTACAGAAAAATGTTTTATAATATTACAAAATATTTATATTTGAAACAAATACTGTTCCTTCTATTCATCAAAGATTCCTGGGGATAAAAAGTATCACAGTTTCCTCAAAAATATTTAGCAGCACAACTGTTCAGCATTTATAATAATGAGAAATGTTTTCTGAGCATCAAATCAGTATATTAGAATGATTTCTGAAGTATCATGTGACACTGAAGACTGAAGTATGACTCCTGAAAATCCAGTTTTCTATTTGATAACTTATTTAATAATTTATTAAATTTTTTAAGCAATAATATAATTTTTCCCTGTATTTGATCAAGTAATTGCAGCCCTAGTGAGCATAGGAGACTTCTGTTTCCGTGAAATGCATTCTTACTTGCATTTGGCCTTTGGCAAGAGGTTATTTTGGATCCTAGCAATGTTCTGGGTTTGATACATTGGGTCAGGATTCGGAAGAAGTTAGTGAACATTAGAAAACTGTATTTCTTGTCTTGACAGCAAGGACTGTATCTGACATCATCTGTTGACAACTTAAAAAAAGTGCAAGAAATTGCTCATCAGAGGATTGTTCTTGTTGCTATGAATGTCATTCAGTCACACATTCACTGGCACCGACTCGCCAGGGATCTCTCTCGAGAACTCGATGCCTGTGTACTAAATAAATACTTTCAGCACAGGAAATGAAGCATTGCTGCAGGACAGATGTTTAAAAGGGCTCTTAGCAGCTCCAGAGATTCTTTTTGCTTTCCATTTACCGCATATGCGGAGGAAATAGGCCGTTTCACTGCGTAAAGATGCCTGATGCTTTCTCTGTTTGTGTTCTAGACAAATTCCCACTCTCAGAACAGCAAGATGGAGGCTGATGCTAAACATGTCACCATCCCCTCAAGTGGCTATGAGAGAACCATAACTATAGTCAGGGGAAACTCTAGTCTGGGTATGTTAACCCTGTTCATTACACTATTCCTATCTGTCTTCTTATTAATCCTCAGTATGTTTCACAGAGAGGTGAATTCCGTGAGAGACCTCTAACTTGTGTTTGTATGTGTGTATAGATGTTGTACACATGCAATATATTACATAGGGATGTAAAGTTTTGTATTAGTACATGATATGACGTTTTACATAACTTTTTTGCTAACTAGCATGTACTTTAGTTTGTATGTATGTTTTTTTTTAATAGTTGTGATTTCTTAGAATATGTGTTTTTATTTGATGTTTTCAGTCAAGTCAATCTATACTGTACATGATGCATTGGAGGGCTCAACAAAAAAGTTATTTTTTTGCTGGCCCCATCAAGCTAGTATTTCTGATTTGAACTTGCCCTGCACACTGTTTTCACAGTATTTCCAGTATTTCAAATATTAAGTTATTTCTTTAAAAAATATTGTAAAAATAAAAAGAAATGCCTTTCTTTTGAACTTTCTGTTTATCAGTGAATCCTGACAAATATGTAGCATGATTTCCACTAAATAAATAAATACATACAAACATACATAAAGCAGCACCATTTTTTTTCCAACATTGATAATAATAAGAAATGTTTCTTGAGCATCAAATCTGCATATTAAAATGGTATAAAACTGAAGACTGGAGTAATGACTGCTGAAGATCCAGCTTTGCCATCACAGGAATAAATTAAATTTTAAAATATAGTCAAATAGAAATTGTAATAATCTTTTAAATTGTAATAATATTTCACAGTATTACAGTTTTTACTGTATTTTTGACCAAAATAAATGCATCGTAGTGAGCGAGAGACTTTTCAAAAACATTAAACAATCTTACTGACCCCAAACTATTAAAAGTTTAACAGTAGTATATTTTTATATTAATTTAAAATATATATTTTTTGTATTTCCATTAAACAAGTTCAATTATTAATCTGATTAAATTACTAATAATTTAATTAATGATTATATTTTTAAGCAAAAATAGCGGGAACTTTTACAACCATACCATTACAACTCCATTAAAACCTATAAATTCATAAACACACTTAAATGAAGGCATGCCATGATTTGTTCGAAATCTTTACCCCATTCATTTTTACAAATCACTCACAATTTTGATAAAGCTTTATTTATGTCAGCTACATAACTTTACACTGTGGATGTATTTCAGCATAATTTGCAGGAATAATAATGAATGCATCACAGAATACGTGACCCAATAGCGTAAGTGACATTCCTGTTAACTGCCCCGAATATCTCACACTGGCCTCAGGCCACCGTAATTGTTAAGCCCTGCAGTGTATCCATGCAACTACACCATCTCATTGGCAAAATCATAACTCTCAGAGAAGAATATAAAAGTTGCGGTTTCCATTCAAACTTGATCTTTCTATTTTTTTTTTCTTTTTGATGAAGTATTTATTCCAATGAATATTCATCAATTTGACAAAGCTCTGCATGAGTATTATTTAATTCAGCATCCCATTTCATCTTGATTTTTTATTAACTTTTCAGTCAGTTATTTATGAGTCAGGTATTTATGTTGGATGATGGAATAGAGATTATAAATCGTGATGTGTTGTGTCTTTTGTTCTGGTGTTCTCTTGTGTCATCTCTGTCCTGTCCTGTGCTGTGCTTTACATGGTCAAATGTGCACTTCTGTAACTAGCGCACTATGATTGTACTGTAATTTGACTGTTCAGACAAGAAACCTGATTAAATGGATGTTCAGATTGAAAATAAAAACTTCAAAATCGATGAATCTCAAATTCTTTACGACCATAGTGTTGTCTTCATGATTGGTGTGTATTTCCTTGCTTGTTAGCTATCGTGTGTGTTCATATTGCATGTGTTTTCTCATTGCATGGACTCCTAATTATTCATAAATCAGCTGCATATTATATTTAATATAGGCTTGCATGGTGCATGCTTCAAATTGAGAGCAATTTAGACAGATTTGTAAGAGCAAAAAATAGTACAAAGCCAACCAGTCACTTTACACCCACAATGAAGTCAGCGTCACTGTTTGAAGTTCATTAGCTCAATTCAATATTCGTAAAATGAATTGTTGAAGGCACACTCTGTGATTTTAATACAACATGAGTCAAAACCAACACTTTATATGCCATAAAGGTGAGTGAGGAGTATTGAGACCATATCAAATGCACTGACTCTACATTGTACGCTGACACTTTCATTGTTACTTAGAAATAATCTTACATTTGCTTTGAACAAGAGAGTTTGAATTGATAAGACAGACAGTTAAGGGGTTCGCTGGGTATGGAAATGACAATTAGCCAATGGTGATATTCCATTTGTAGTTTTAAAGAAATATCTGATGTGATTAAACTTCCATTGTTGAGCTGTGATCACTCCCACACTTTAACACACACTTATGTTGCTTATAAGGATCTTGTTTAAATAAAAATGACTAAATGTATATATACACTTAAAATATTCACTGTTGGGAGAGCCTGGGGCTAGTTGTCACACTTTTTACTTCAGTGAATATTTATCAGTTTAGGTTTATTTTTGAAAGCCTGTTTCTGTACAGGCACATATCTTATAGTCTCGGCTACAAAAATAGCAGTTGAACAATTCCACTGTTATTATGCAAGCAAAAAAAAAAAAAAAGATTTAGTTTATTTAATTCATGCTGGCCTTTTCACCCTATATGGGGTGGTTTGTGAGAAAATAACCTTATTATAGGTTTTTTGGCATGCAGTAAAACAATTAATAAACAGCAAAGATGTAAAAGGTAATGAACAAAAATATAAAATGAAAAATACATAGGACAACTTGTGACAAAATAAGTACATACCTCAGGTGACTATGCACATGACATGTGTGTGTGTGTGTGTGTGTGTGTGTGTGTGTGTGTGTGTAGGAATGACAGTGAGTGCTTTAAGGGATGGTTCAGGCATGATAATCCGCTCTGTGGTTCATGGCGGGTCGATCAGTAAAGACGGGAGACTGGCAGTGGGCAATGGAATTGTTGCCATCAATGGAGAATCCACCACCGACCTGACCAAGGCACAAGCCAGAGCGATGCTACGCAGACATTCACTGATCGGACCTGATCTCAGGTGCTCACACACACACGCACACACTGGCAAGCTTTATCTAAATAGGAACCTAACTCTGACTTCTAGTTTTTCTATAAATTTAATGCACATGAAAATGTATTATAGTATATCAAACAAGTGGTGATATTTTTATTTTCACAAAATATATTTGTTAGAATTGTATATGAACAAACAAGCAAACAAATATATTCATTCATGTTTTTAAAAGAAGATTATCATGCTTACCAGGGTGCATTTACTGTATTTCATCAAAAATACAGTAAAAACAGCACTATTGTGAAATATCATTACAATTTAAAATAATAGTTTTTTATTTTATGTCAAATGTAATTTACTCCTGTGATGGCAAAGCTGAATTTTCAGCAGACATTACTCTAGTCTGCAGTGTCACATGATCCTTCAGAAAACATTGATGATTTGGTGCTAAAGAAACGTTTCTAATTATTAATATTATCAATGTTGAAATCATGTGCTTCTTTTTTTTAAGATTTATTTTTGGCATTTTTGCCTTTTATCAGGATAGGACAGTATAAATTGACAGGAAATGAAGTAGGAGAGATAGGGAAAGGACTGCGAGCTGGAGCTGGAACTCGAACTCGGGTTGCCCAAAGCACAGATACATTGTATGTCGGCACGCTGCCCACGATTCTGTCAGCACAGACAACAACATGTGCTTCTTAATAGTTTTAAACTGTGATACTTTTTTCCAGGATTTATGATTAATAGAAAGTTCAAAATAAGATTTACTTAAAAATATAATTCTTGTAACATTGTAAATACAGCCGCTTTTGATAAATTTAATTAATCACTTATGTCTTTAAAAAAATTACTGACCCCAAACTTTTGGTTGTTAGTTTAACTATTTAATATTTTCCAATTGGACTACATAAGTACTTTAATCTTTAGAGATTTTGTCTGTTAAATGTCATTTCAATTTTTTTTAAATTGAAGAAAATGTTATGTTCTAGCCAGCAGCACATTTCATTGGTTGTTGAAATTAGATTCTTCATCAAAACAACTTCAATCAAACCCATTTTGCTTGTGTGTTTTTGTATCAGTGTGACTTATGTGCCTGCTGCCTTCCTGGACATGCACAGGGCCAGCTATGCCCAATCAAAAGAGGAAATAGAATTACACAGAACAGCTACTGTCCAACCCAAGCACTCACAAAAGCTGCCTTTTACACCCCTGTAAGGAGACAGAGAATATTTTTGTCTGTTTGTTTTCTTGTTTCTGATGGTGTTCTAATGCTTGTTTGCTTTGTATTAGAGAATGTATTTCTGAACAACAAAATACAGTGGATGGTAAAGGAGTGAATGGAAAGACCCAAACTGAAGAAGAGAATGAAGGAATAGATAACCACACTCAAATTAAACAAAGAGAAAGCAATGAAAGACTGGAAAGAGACAAAAAGGTGATGAATGAAAGACCGGTCTTGCAGAGTGAGAATGGGCAAAGACGAGGGAGAGAAAAAGACAGACAAAAAGATGAAGAAGAGACGCATGGGAAGGATGGTATTTCATGGAGTGAGCCTAGAAGGTATCCCATAAAAAAAGCATTAACAAAACATCGACACATTCACTTTTAGTATGTTCATGTGTAATGGTGATATGGTTGTGTTTATTGTGCTAGAGTAACATTATTCAGGGCTGGGGGCACGTGTCTTGGCTTCAGTGTGGTGGGGGGTCGTGGTATGGGCAGTCGACTGAGCAATGGAGAAATGAGACGAGGCATCTTCGTAAAACACATCGCAGAGGACAGTCCAGCTGCACATGACAGCACTTTGAAAGAAGGAGACCAAATTCTTCAGGTGTTTGTGTGTGTGTGTGTGTGTGTGTGTGTGTGTGTGTGTGTCTGTGTTTTTATTAGATAGTACCCTTTAACTATTGGTGTAACGTCAACTGCCCACTTTAGACACTGTCTGAAATTCCAATAACAGAAAAAAATACAAAATTAATGACACAAATATTTAAAGGGAAACTGGCAGAAAATAATTATAATCAGAAAATCATGAAAGTATGAGTTATTTCCTTGTTTGCACTTTATTTTATATCATGTACACTTACCCTATACTTATAATGTACTGGATAAGAAAGTACTGGATAATATAAGGTAACTACATGGGTTAGGGTTAGGTTTAGCGGTAGGTTCAGAGTTAGTGCCTAGTTGTTACCCAGTTAATGTACTATAACAAGTACATAGTATGTACATGTGGAACAGGACTGTAAAAGAAAGTATACCATTCCTTCTTTAGTGTCCTTGTTACTGTGTAATTACACAGTTAAGCACTGAGTAATATTAATTAACAACATATACTTACTATAGTGTCAGGATTAGGGTTAGTTGCTTGTAATTGTGCAAAATTTGCTGTTATTACTAAAGTAAGTACATGTAACATACAGTGGGTACGGAAAGTATTCAGACCCCCTTAAATTTTTCACTCTTTGTTATATTGCAGCCATTTGCTAAAATCATTTAAGTTAATTTCTTTCCTCATTAATGTACACAAACCACCCCATATTGACAGAAAAACACAGAATTGTTGACAATTTTGCAGGAATACTTTCCGTACCCACTGTATATAACAAGGGCACTGTTCAATAAAGTGTTACCCAAAACACAACTAAGTACAGTATGTAAAGCAATACAGAGTTCTGGCATGAAACTCTAGATGGCGCAGTCCGATAGGTCTAACTCAATCTGACCTAATGACATCATTATCACATGGCACAGCTGATTGGTTGTCTCCTGTATCGGTAGCCAATGAGCTCGCTGCTCAACATTCAAATATATGACTAGTGTCTGCTGTAGCAGTTGCAACTTGCTTCAGAAACCATCCCCCTTCCCCAGCTCCACCTGTATAAATCTGCTACGAGGTGATTCATGTACGCTATAAGGGGGTTATTTCATGTATGTTATATTTGCAGCAGCAATATTTCTTACATGCTCACAGCAGCATGTTGTGGATGTATTGGCAGTAGTAAGTCTCGGTACTTGCTCTGCTACAGCAGCAGCAGCAGCAGCAGTGTAGCAGATCTATTCCACCAAGACCAAAT